TGTCTCACAATTTTTTCGAAGACAATGCCGCGTCCGATACGACCTTGGCCTACAAGTGTCTGCAACTTTTCTTCGTATAGCACGATCAAATTAGATCATCACATAAACTTGGGAATTCGTCCTATCATAATACCTGTGCCTAACACATAGATGGCGCTAATCTCATTGCATTCACCACTTCGGTGCCAGAAATCAATATGTTAAAGTCAAGAATCTCATATCTGAGGAGATTTACGTCAGGAGTGCCACAAGGAAGCCTCTTAGTCCCCTTCTTGTTCAATATATTCATCAATGATACTGAAGGGATAATCAAACATTCAAAATTTCTGCTGTTTGCAGGTGATCTTAAAATATTTAGCTCTGTCAAGAACAAGCAACAATGTGAGAACGTTCAAAGGTACCTCACCTCAATGGGGAACGTTCCTCCTGACGAAAATCAAGTAGTTTTCATGAAAGAGCTCTAAACAACGCATTTTAAACTTATCATTTCAACCTTTTTCTTTAAAAAATCATTTAAATACTTAAAGAAGAGGAATGAAATAATGCATTCAACATTTAAAGGGATTCGTTTCTATTGCACCAATTGGCAACATCGGTTATAACTAATAAAGGACAATGCATCTGTTACCTGTATGAGACAAACGAAGATGACATATTTCAGAGGTGTGCTGTTCTGTTTACTTATGTTCCGAGATCCGAGACATTCTGTGACATATGACATTTTGTGCACCTAACCTATCTTCTTCTATATAAATAACAAAACAACTGTTGTTTATGTGGGCTTGTAAACTTGCATTTGCTGTAATAACCCAAATTGAGAAACATTCCCCATTGTCAAATGGTGCTCCAAAAACTACATGAAGCTGAATGTAAATAAATGCAATGCTATGTCATTATATCGATAACGTGGAATAGTGAATTTGGTTATAATATTGATGGCAAACTTCTCACTAGGGGAAACACTATTTTTTTTGACAACAAGGTTGATTTCCATCTCCACTATGATCAGGTTGTGAATAAGGCGACGAAAAGGCTGGCCTTTGTGTGCAGGACCACAGGAGAATCCATTAATGTTTATTCCATCGGAACCCTGTATTATTCTTTGGTTAAATCAATATTGGAGTATTGCTTATGTGTGTGGTCGTCAACATATGAAATCCATATAAACAAATTGGAAACAACACAGAACAAATTTCTAAGATATCTTGCTTATAAATTGAAAATACCTTTAACAGAAAACAGAAGTTCGCACTATAACAGAAATAGTGAAACTGAGTACGTGTAGAGTTTATACAGACATCAGATTTCTACATTAGACTTTGAACTATCACGTTGATGTTCCATAGCACTTGTCCATAATTGGTCCACATATTCCAGCCAGAGTAACTCGAAACAATCAGCCGTTTGCAAATGATTTTCATAGATGCAATTATGGAAAACAGTCACCATTATCCAGTAGTTCAAGAGTTCAAAATCTGAATTTTCTCGAATTCCGACTTTGAATTCGAAATTTTGTGTTTTTTCAAAAGTATTTGTCTTCGTACAATTCACTTAAGATTAATTGAAAAACCAACACAAAAAACTGCATTCAATTCTTTTGGCCACATAGAATATTTCAACCATTTGTAAAATGATGTTAAGCCTCTCAATTTGATTGATTTGATCAGAGAAGAATGCCATTGGGAATTGTCGACATAAAAAAGATAATGATTCTTTCGAATCTGTTTATCAGAACATAATAACATTGTATATGCCCCACATAAAAATTTTCATAATTGTGTTGATCAAAATTGACATTATTTCTTCATTTGTGAAGCAATTTTATTCTCCTCTGAAGGAGTTAATTTGAATTTCAATTGGAAAAATATCGTATTCGAATTATTATTATTTTGTCTCACATAAACTACAGCACTCTTCAACATCAATAAATACTTTTGATATTATCTACTTTGATCAACACTTCCTTATTGACAGAATACCGTCTATGATTTCACTCCTTATTAATTCAAATCAGATTATTTAGTCGATGTAGATAGTTTCATTTTCTTATTCGATTATTTTCCGTTCGATTGTCTCAAGTCTCAGACGTTAGTGCCAATCCCAAAATAACTCCTTGTTTATCAACGCTGTTTTCGCAAAGGTGGCGCTATCCACCGAACACCTCCGATATTTGTTTTGTGCGCGACTCAGTTTCCGTTGTTCCGTGAAAAAGCTCGACTGCCTCCGGACGAAGATGTAATCGTATTTCCGGCTGAAGTAGAATATATTCTTCCCAGGTGATAAACTATTCGAGATATCTGTCAAGAATAATTGGTTGTGTCCGTTACTGTCTGTTGGTGTTTTGTGTCTTCAAATGTTTTAGGTAATTTCGTGTTTGAAGTTATATGTATAATTTTGTGGACAGCTAGAATGATTTAAAGTAATTTCTTGTAGTTTGAATGTAATAGTCAACTGTTTTATCATGACCTTAAAACTAATCATTCTATCAGTATTAGTAGTATAATTCATATAATTTGCACCAGAAAAACGTACTTGTACAAAAATAGTGTACTATAGAATGTTTAAACTCAAAATCATATTCACTTGGTCACACCGTCAGCGGACATGGAAATCCTTCTAGATCTACCTCCTCTTCACATTTTTCTAGAGAGAGTGGCTAGATGGACTGTATACAGACTTGTGCACATTGCCAATTGAACAAATCAATTAAATGCAGAGTGCAACAGACTGTTGGCTGACACTGGAAGTCACAGCATTCTGGAATTGACATCTGACTTTATGCCTCCAACTGTCAATTACGAACTGCCTTATAAAGTATTATTCCCAAGTGGAGAGGACTGGATCCTCCGGGAGAAGGAAATATTAAGAGCAGATAGTTGTTGGTTCACAGATGAATCAAAAACACCTTCTTGTTCTGGTGCAGGTGTTTTTAGTCGCAGACCCAGGACAGAGATATCTACCTGCTTAGGAACGTATGCGACTGTATTTCAAGCGGAATACGCTATTGAACTGTGTGCGGAGAGATTGGATAAATCCAAGCTGGGTTTATATGCTGAGATACAACATTCCAAAAAGATTTTCATCCGAATTATCTCGGCTAATAATAAAAATATCTGGAACAGTTCGATGCGAATGGGTACACGGAAAAAGATGCGGGATTCATCCTGAATGGAAGACACCCAACTACACATATTATCCAAAGTTATTGTTGGAAATTCATCGGTGGTATTTGGACAAAAATTACAAACTCCAATATGGGAATATCGATAACTACAACTACAAAGTTTTTAAACATAAAAATGACGTCACATCTGCCGTTCTGTGAATCGTGGTAAACTTGGCGCTCGGCGATGTTTTGATGCCTTCGCTTTGTTCGTTTTACTTGGCAAGTATGCACGTAGCCGTGAATCATTCTGTTTTTCGACACTTTCTCTCGGTTTCAGGAGGTTGTGAATTTGTGACGTCATCGGTGATTCAATACTGGCGACATACGTCTCTGCAATATACTAAAGTTCGTATTAGTAGATTTGCTGAACATTAATTTTTAACTTGGCGTGATTCCATTTGCTGTAA